TTTTTATTTCGCCTTTTTTCCCTTCAAGACGTTTGACACTTGGACTCATAAATATTTACCTTTTTTACCACAACATAACCGAGATGCTTTTTATTCTGATACGACTGCCACTATACTTAATGTTTTCGTGGGACAAGAAACTATAGAAGATTAAATAACGGAAAACTTGCTAACATGTTGTGAAAATTGTTGTTGATATTTGCTTTTAGAAACTACATGTAAGGTCTTTTAACTAGTTGCAAAGTTTCTCTTCCTGATCGAAACACCAGTCTATTTTTGTGTTCATGTAGTCAGTGGACATTCCCAGTAATGCATGACACACTTAACAGAAGCCTGGGCATTTCCATGATGACCATAACAGCTACAGTAGTAGAACAGTTTACCATTAGCTGGGTTTATTTGAGACGATAGCAGATAAAGCTGTGCATGGTCTGTTGTACATGAAACACCCACAATCTTTTTACCCTGCAATGAGAAACAAAGTTGAACTATATGACTCAAAATTAAGGGAGTAAAACAATTAACTGCTCCCGTTTATTGATTTACTGATCTATCTCTTATTTTGGAGACTTTAATTCCGGGATATAAATTTTAACATATCTATCTAACCTCTGATAAAAAGGACTTACATACATACGGTACAAATATTGGCGTACACGTCATATAACGTGAAAGAGCCAGGTTTTTATCTGGTAATTCAAAATAGTCTGACAAACATCCCTACAACATTCAGGGGTAAATTACAAAGAGAATATAGTCATGAATCTCTTCTTTTGAGTATACTTACACTTAGTTCCTCAAGGAGCACTTTAGCTGGGTTCGATAAATTGTTCCTGTTGATTACATCTTGGGTTGCAGTCGAATCCTTAGTCTTGTGTTCACACAGGGAGAAGTCACCAGTTCCTTTGGGACCCTGTGGTCCTGGTTGTCCTTGTGATCCATTAAGACCCTGCGGTCCTATCATCCCCTGGGGACCCTGTGTACCATTGAATCCTTGAGGTCCGGTTAATCCAATGGGTCCTTGAGAGCCGTTGAAACCGTGTGGTCCAATAGGGCCCTGGAGCTTACTCGCATTCTCTATCTGCAACATCGTTAATAAGCAACAATTTATGTGCCTGTTCTCTCTAATCTAAACATAAAGAGGCAGTACTGCGCATTCTGTAGGAATGACGGCTACAAACTTTGTGATGGCTCCTACCCCTTAGCTTTCTTTTCCTTTCCGGGGTCAATTTTTATTTGTGTAAAAAAACAACCCTCATTCTGGACCCCAGATTTGCCGGCGCTTGCGAGTTTGCTTCCCTTTATTTCCCGCCTCAAACGGCTTGCACAAATTGGCCAACCCTATACAACCTCGAAGAACACCATCAAAGTATAAAAAAAAATTTCCGATCAGATCTTATAAACGCTCAGCCGCAGAAACCGAAGAAACTTCTTCAGGACTAAGCCCCCGCCTCATCCTCACGGCTTAAATGCCAGCTGAAAACTAATCATCGTCAGGAGACTGGCGGCCAACTGCGTTACATCTACGCTTGATTAGTTATCTGAAAATTTCGCTGCGTACCTTGTTAGAGAGGGTGGTGTTAAATTCTGACAAAAGTGTCCTCAGGCTCACATCTTCTCGGTTTAGTCTATCTGTCGCGTTTATCAACTGTTTTAACAAAAAAAAAGGCGAGAAATACATCATTGTCATTGAACAT